TGAATCGTCGAAGTAGGTAAACCTTGACAGTTTTGCAACCATACCAGACCGTAGCTACGTTAATCATATGATACCTGCCAGGGAAACCTAGAGCGAAGAGCCGACTCCGGCGAGGACGACGGCCGGTGAAACCTCGGAAGCCGTGATGTCGACCCCGAGAGCTCAGCAAGGAGACGCGTTCTCCTTCGATGCGTCAAGGCCGTCGCTACCTCTTGCGAGTAAGACGCGAGGCGACAGTAACGCCAGCCAGTGCGGCGTTCGACCCTAGAGAGACGGCGAGGCACCCTTCTGCGCGTGTGGTGGAACGCCATAGTGTTGCTGGAATGCCGTTCCCGGAGAGTGGTACGCCTAGAAGGCAAGAAATGACGCCAGTTCGGGCAGTGGAGACGCCGACAAGGAGGGCCGGAACGCCGACGTCGGACTCTGCGTTGCAAGAGATGTTGGTCGACACGTTTAGGCGGGAACGTCAGAGGCTGTTGATCTCGGCTGGAACGCCGACAAGTACGCCACAACCTGCAAGGGCGAGGCCTGTGTCGCGCCCAGTGCCGGCGTCCACAGGGAGCATCTTCGTCGGTCAGGCTCGACCGGCTAGTACGACGATGCTCGAGTACCAAGGTTCGATGGCTCCCAGGGCGGCGCTACCGGCGCCAGCTTCGACGCCAGTGGCGATGCCGATGGCTGCGATCCCGTCTTACGGTGAAGTGACCATTCAGGTACCGAGAACCAGCAGGAACGATGGAGGGAACGGCGCGGCACGCCGGAGTGCTCTGTACCCGCCGTTCCAACCTCCGATAACGCCTACAGCTGGGTGGAACTCTGATAGAATGCTACCCGCGTGGTCGCCTGCGAGCATGGGAGGCCATGGATGCTGTGAGAACTTCAGTGGTCGAGGAGGAAGTTATCAGACGCGTTCGGCGTACCCTCAAGGGATTGTGATGAATCGGACGCTCGACCACGGTGGTGATTATGCTGTGCAAGGAATTGAAACGCTCCTGGGACGGAACGAGCCGATAGTGGGCATCCCAACTGAGTTGCGGAACGCCGTGAAGGTGATCGTTCCATTTTATTCTGACACCGCTACGAGTGAAAGGGCGGCGGCGTTTTGGCGTTCTTTCGAGAAGTGCACGCATGGTATGGACGGCCAGATGAGGTTGACGGCGTTCGAGCAGTGTCTCAAGGGCAAGATTGGTCAAGAGTGGTGGTACAACTCCAGCTTTTGAAGCTCTGAGGGTGCAGTTCCACAACCGATTTATCTGCCAGATGGAGCCGACTCAAGGCTGTCAAGAGGAAGCGTGGCGAGTCTGCCGAGGAGTGGGGCAACCGGATTTCGACTATGTGTGAAGTCTTGAACTACCACGATCCTCGTATGAGGTACGAGTTCTTCTTGGATGGCCTGCGGAACAACCAGATGAAGGCAGTATTGAACGCGAGCATGGTCACGTCGATTCCTGAAGCGTGTACGCTACTGCTGTACAAGAACCTGCATCTCCCTGTCGAGGA